TTACTTGCTGTATAAATGTACCAAGTGCTTCAACCAGTTGGAATCTTTTTCTCAGTTATAGAACAGACCAAGAATACCTGACTATAATAAAGAATACTGAAGGGTGTACTGAAGTTTCTGACATACTGTTTATGTTCAGTAAATAGTACTCCATTGCCTTGTGACTCCTGTTGTATGATATTTTGTTTGTGTTCTGACAAATAAAGCATGCCTGGAGATCAGAGGGCAGAGCTAGCCACTAATTAACCATAGATGCCAGGCAGTGGTGGCACACACCTTTAATTTCAGCACTTGGGAGGAAGAAGCAGGAAGATCAGGAGTTCAAGGCCACCCTGGACTACAATGAGATTGAACCAGTCTAAAAGAGATACAGAGTCCAGTGGTGGTGGTGCTCACATTTGATCCGAGCACATGGGAGGATCATGCCTTTGATCCCAGCACATGGGAGGTGGAGATAGGAATATAAGGTGGATAGAGACAGAATTGACCCCATTCAGTCTGTGGATTCAGAGTCAGGATGCCCCCCTCCCCATTCAGTTTGAGAATTCCTAGAAACAGAATGTTATTCTGCGACTTCGTAGAGGTAAGAAGTCTCTGGTGGCTGGCTACTCTGCATCTCTGATCTTTCAGCTTTCACCCCAATATCTGACTCTGGGTTTTTATTGACTAATTAGGGTCACGCTTCAGACTCCCTCCTTTCTTAGAACACTAAAAGACATGAGACAGGATGAGCTACCTTCCTACAATGCTGGGAGAAGTTCTACCATTGGGTATTTCTAGTGAAATTAAGATGAGCTGAGGGAAGCCCAAGGCTCTAATTCTGGTTTCCACGTAGCATAGGCAGTCTCTGTTCTCTACTTAGTGAAGTCTGGATTTCTTTTTAAGAGGAAAATATAATGTATAACTGCAGATAATGGGTTAAACTGCATCTCTTCCTATAGATGAGTGATGATAGATCCTTTCCCTCTAGTAAAGATCCTGCTTTCTTAGCACCCAGAGCCCTGTATTGCCGCCTCTTCAGCACTGGCGAGAGGAATTGAATTCAGAGCTAGCTCCATTGTGTGCAACCACATTAGCTTGCAACCTCAGTGAGACTAGATAGTTAAGAATTTTTAAAGAAACATGTAGCTACAATTAAGTCTATAGAAAATTGGTTAACAGTGCTGACAGATGGATAGACAGAATAAAGGGAAAAGCATTTCCATGTCATGAGTTTGATTTATACTGAGCTTGATTCAGGAACCTCTGATGGCTGTTTATTCCTATACATTGTGTATTCACAGAATACGAGGGACTGCTTCATAACGTGTACAGGGTCCACTGGTGACAGAAAATAATCACTTCTTCAAACAAATGTAGCTATTCAGATTTTTTACAAGTTGTAGAAGATGAGCTATATAAATAATAAGTGACCCTTAGCTGTTCATCAACTGATGAATAGAAAATGAAGATATGGTATATTTACAGTTCAGCTATTAAGAAAAATAAAATGAGTGAGTAAATAGGTGGAGCTGGAGAAAATCCTGATTGAGATAATCCTGGCCCGGAAAGACAAACATTGTATGTTTTCTTTAACTTATGGGTGTTAGCTGTGACTCTTTAGGTATGTGCTTTTCATTTGGAATTCTCACAGAGGTCAGGACATTACTAAGGGGTCATGGGGGGTTCTTTTAAGGGAAGGGGGAATAGAAGGCACTGGCATAAAGCCTTAAAAGGAAATTATGGCAGGAAGGAATAAATTGGGGCTGGGCAGGGGAGGACGGGTTGGAAGATGGAAACTGGGAGGGATAAGTAACACTAAAGACTTTTCAGAGAAGCCACACAAAACCTACTATTGTAGAAGCTTCCTAAAATAATATCCACACACACACATACCAAAAAAATATTAAAATGGAATTATCCTATAATGGGACAACAGTGGCCTTACTAGACAACAGAGGATAACAAATAAAGACCCAGTCCTAGAAATTGGTAGCTTTTGGAGTTGTTAGCCATTGAGGTCCTCCAAACCCTCAAACATTTCAGGCTGTTGCCAGCACTCTTAGTTACCCTCCAGAGCTTTCCAGTTCTTTTGTTTGTTTGTTTGTTTGCCAATAGTGCAGTAAGAGTGTGTGAGCTATATAGACAGCAATTCTATTTAGGCTTAGCATTCTGGATGTCCAGAGTTAAAGGGCCATACTTGGTGATGGCATTCTTCCTGACAGACCTCCATAGCGTACAGAGAGGATGTGTCTTGGGAAGGCAGGAGTGGTAGGGCAGGCTCCATTTCTGTTCTTTTTATAGCCACCAGGATTTCATCATGGGAGCCCTATCCTAATTACCATATTGAATACTAATCACAAAGGGCCCAACTCCAGACATCATAGTCAGATTAAGTTTCTTAAGTACTTCTCAAGATTAAATCTCAGCATGTAGATCCTTGGGGACGTACTCATACCATATTTAAACTTCAGCAACCACCATTTTGGAAGTGTGCAAATAGATAATAGGTAAGCTCGAGGTGAAAGATGATCAGGGTGTGGTCAGACAAGGAAAAGATAGGACTGACAACATTTAATTATTTTCCTACGTGTTTTTCTCAAGAAAGAGACAGGATTCATGAAGCTGTATGAGATCTCTATGTTCCCTGACCCGAAGGTAAGGACAAGATAAAGACAGTTCTGAGAGAGAATGCTGAGAAGTCAGTTGTGAACATTTTGAGACTATGCTAGGATTTCAACAAATAGTAGGCATATGGAGCCAGGGAGTACTACAGTTTCATTGATGCTGTCTTTGGCATGACATTCTTTCTGCATCATGTATTACCTTTATGCAAATGCTGGAAAATAAAGTATTTAAATTGCTTCCGTTTAGCATATTTAAAACAAATGCCACAGGCTTCCTTCCCTGTTTGTGTTTTAAGGTTTCTGCATGTGAAGATGATGCTGAGGTAATTGAGTTGAATTTCTGTTTCTGGTTCATTTTACTTACATGCTTGTTCCCCTTGACCAAAATAAAGTATCGGATGAACTGTTTAGTTTATGGTTGCCCTCATTATTTGGATTCTGAATTTTAGTGTATTTGCTTATTTTAATAGGGAATAGCCTTCCCTTTGTCTTCTGGGCTATATTTTCGTTTTGTGATGAGACCTGTAACTTTGTAATAGTAGTTTGCATATAGATGAACTTTAAAAACTGTGTAGGAGGAGAAGACCCTAGGATCATCTGGGTAACTTCCACATTTCTCATGATAGCAATCTGAAGTCAAGGGAATAGCAACAGCTAGCATTTATTGAGTTATTATGTCATGTAATCATTGTAACAATCCTTTAAATGAGTGAATTGAGTATCCCCCACATCACATACAAAGTAACGGCATGGTTGGCTTCAGCAACGGTTTCCCTTGTAAATGTGCATACAGTTTCTATAATGTAGTTTTGTGCAGTAGAAGTGAATAGTTAATATATCTTCTACTATTAGAGTAAATGTTTTCTTTGATATTTAAATTAATAAAAAGAAATGCTGTTCCATTAGCTTACATATTACTTAGTGCAGTGAAACTGTGTGAGTTACTGAGTAGAATGCATGTTTAGTGAAAGTCTGTGATGGATGAAATACATGTACTGTTGATGTTTGTCATTTTGTCGCTCAGTACTATTTTCTTGAATTAGATCTAAATGATTACTTTTGTGTATTGGGATTTGTCTACCTTAAGGAAAGAATTTGAGAACTGATAATATTGAAAAACTAAATGAACATAATGTATTTATTCCTTTGTCCCAAATTATATAGTGTAGCACCCAGTTCTAATTTGGTAAACTAAGAGTTTGTTTTCTTTCTTCATTTTAATTAGTATTTTTTTTTAACTAATATTTTCTTTTAAGCTTAAAAAAATACTGTGATGGTGGGAAAATGTTTGTAACTTAAGAGTTAGCTACTTAAGTATTGTCAAGTGTACAGTTAGGCTGTATTCACAGTGTTATTTATGTATGTTATTTATGTAGTTCCCATCACTGTTTATTGAAAACTTTCATTGTCCCAAATAGGACCTCTATGACATCTTACTGGCTAATTTCTGGTTTGGTCCCAAATAGGATCTCTATGACATCTTACTGGCTAATTTCTGGTTTGGGCCTGGTCTCATCTATCTTACAGCCACCCAGTATAATGTAATAATCATAATAATCTGCATAGACTAGTTGAATGCTGAGTTTGTCATTGAGTTAGAATGGTTCCTTTTGTCTGTATTTGTTTCGTATTTCTAGCTATTTATGAAAACTGCCTTTTTTTTTTTTACATATTGTAATTTTATATTTGCTTTCTGGAGGTGATGAAAAACACGTATTTGCAACTTGTAGGAGATCAAGCTAAATGATGTAAACATCCAGGCATTTTTATTGAGTAACCAAAGAAACACTGGGGATTAAGGACTGTGATACACAGAAAAAGTCTGGCAGTCTCAAATCAATGCATTTCCTTCCCTTCCTGTTAGAATCCTAGAGCAGGAAGCACACCAGTGTAAAAGATACTTGGGCCTGTGATCTAAAGAAGTTAATCCCCAAATGCGGATGTGAGCTGGACTTAGGAGAAGGAGGGCGCCAAGATCCTTCTTTCATGTTTGTGTGCAAACAGAAATACAGCAGTTGAAAGAGTTTAAAAAAATTTATTTTTAAAATTAATGCTTTGTTTTAGGTTCTATTCCTTTTCTTTTGCTGAAATGTGAAGTTTTCATGGATACTTCTTTTTCTGTTTCTTAACCATCATACACTACTATTGTATAGTAAATAAATGGGGAAATTATCAGGGACTATTTTTCAGACTATTATTTGTTTTTGAATAAAGAATTTAAGAAAAAAGCATGAAAATAATTTCAATTTTAACTTCTTTTATCAAGCAAGATAATTTTATGTTGCCCAATAGTATATTAATGGAATTTTTTGTATGAACAAAGTATAATTTTATGTGCATTAGTGTTCTTGTGTTTTAAACAGTGATGTTTCTAATGAGATTTGTTTGTTGCAGCTGAAAGATGGTGGAAAGGCATCACAGGCACATGTGAGAATAGGCGATGTGGTCCTCAGCATTGATGGAATTAGCGCACATGGAATGACTCATCTTGAAGCCCAGAACAAGATTAAGGGTTGTACAGGCTCTTTGAATATGACTCTGCAAAGGTAGGTTGAATTTTGTCACTGAGAGAGAACTCAACATTGAGGAACTATTTCTGTGTATTTGATTCATGCTATGTAAGAAGCAGTTTTTATATTGCTGTTTCAGGTAAATAAATGAAAAGTATAGTAGCTCTTCAATTGGATATTCATGCGACACGTGAATTGATGAAAATAGTGGGCTATTTTTCATGTTATCCATGTCTTCATGAACACTGGTTGTATGGTTTTTGAGAATTCAAGAATTCCTGAAAATTTTCAGTAGGGTTCAGGCTAAAGAATTCTTATTGTAGGATAAATCGTTGCTTCATATTCTGAGCAATATATTAGGCCTTCTGTGATATGGTTTGACTTCTCTAGTTTCTTTTATACCTTTCTTGTTTTGAATAGATAAACATTTTTAATATATGTACTTGAAGACTGGACTTTTAAATTTTATGAGTTTTTTGGTTAAGTTCTTCTGTCCTCAACAATAAATTGTATTCTTACTGATGATAATAAGTCAGGTGTTTTGAGTATCCCAACACTGAACCTGCGTTGCAGTCATTATATCACAGTGCTTATTAAAAGCAGTGTTGGCCATGCTGAATCATACCTGGACATGAGGATCAGAGGTATATGCAGTTGAGATCCGTGTTATTGTTATAGATTTAACATAAGAGTCACTGTGGTATCTCTGACTTAGTATGAAGGAGAATCGGCTCTGAACCTTATGTATAAGGAAGGAGCCTGACCATTACCAGTCATAAGTCCCGGTTTTAATGATTTCTATCTTTAAGAAATAATAGTATTTTTTCCTTTGAGAATTTACACATGTACACAATGTATTTTTATTATTAACCCCCTACCCCTCCCTAAGTGTGCTCTAGTTTATCATATATGGATGATACCATACCTTACCCCCGAAACAACTCTTATTTTCCCATAAACTGTCATGCAAATTGTGACTCTTGAATGAAGAAAATAAAATACAGAGTATCTTCCAAACATATTTGATAATAGAAACTTTTTTCTCAGATTCTTTCCTGAGACTAGTGTTCCATGGAGAGCACTTTGGATGCCTCTCTCCTCTTTGCTGCTGATGTTCCATGGACTAATACTTAAAGGAGTCAGGCAGAGCAAAATACGCTTGATTGTTTATATGAGTATCAGTGTAAAATTGAGTAGGGAAAAGTTTTAATACTTACAGTTACATAGATTTATAGATCTAGTTTATTGTGTTATGATTGTGTAACCAGTTGAATCTTTGCATTTTTGTATGTTGAAGAAATTTCTTTAATTGGGATCACTGAATCACCAGTTATACATATAAATTTTTGATAGCTATACATTTTAATGCATGGAAAGATAATCAATGAAAAATAAAACCAGTCTATTGATAATGTTTTCATACTGCCTGTCTGTAGAGGCATGCAACATAAACATTGTTACTGATTAAATGAATGCTTATTTTTCTTTATAGACAGTTTTGCCACGTTTGAATTTGAAGGAGAACAAATAATCAAGCTTGTCTGAGATATCAAGAATATAAAACACATACATATGATGATGGCTGTTTCTCACACACTAAAACTGAGTCCATATAGCCGTGTAAGCTCCTTTGTGGGCTGCGATCATTTCTTTATTACCAGCCTTCTTGTTTTCACATTGTCCTCTTTATTTTATAATCCAGACACTATATTCCTTATTTTTATAAACTGGGACTCAGTATTTTATTTTCTTTTGAAAACACTGAGTCTCATAAGACTAGATGAAAACCAGATGTTGCCCTGTTTGGATGCATTTCCAATTCCAGCAGTCTGCTACTGACTCTAATAAAGCTACTGAAGTACAAATTCTGACTAACTTACAAAACCAACTCAGTATTATAAACATTTGGGGATTCTGTTCTGTTGAATCTTATCTTTCTTTTTCCACATTGAGATTGAGAGACCCAGAATATAAGAAAGAGTTTTAGAGTTCTGTTGTAATTAATTATAATTCTCTTCATGTTTCTGAACATATATTGTGTAATATGAGCCCTTTATTATACTGTGTATAAATTTGTGCCTGTGTGTGTGCATATGCATCTTTGTCTTTGTCTCTGTCTCTGTCTCTGTCTGTCTCTCTCTCTGTCTCTCTCTCTCTCTCTCTCTCTCTCGTGTGTGTGTGTGTGTGTGTGTGTGTGTGTGTGTGTGTATGTGCATGTGTGTGTAAGTAAGTAAGTAAGTCAGAGGTCCACCCCTGATGTCATTCCTCAGATACCACCTACCTTGGTTTTTTTTTTTTTTTTTCGTTGTTCATTGGCATGATATTCACCTGTTAGACTAAGCTGGCCTGTTAGCGAGTGCTAGGGACTAACCTGCCTGATTCCACCTCCCCAGTACTGGGATTAGAAGTATGGGCCACCACTCCTGGCTTTCTTCATGGGTTCTGAGGGTCAACTAGGTCCTTTGGCTTGTGTATCAATCACTTTCTTGACAGAACTGTCTCTCCAGCCCTATTATAGATATTTTTTAAAGCCTATGGCACAACAATCGACAATTCTACTGAAAAAGTACTTTTGCTTTTTAAAGAGAAAATATGACACTGGAGAATTATCATCGAATCTTTTCTACTAAGACCCATCTCTTTTTCAGTTCTTTTTCTTGCATCACAGCAAATATTCTAAACTTGAATACTGTCGTTAATTGTTTTTTCTTGCCTCTTACCAGTCAGACTGTTCTTAATTCCCCTTCCATACTGAATCACCTGCAATAGTACTTTTGCTATAGAACTCTTTTTTTATAAACAGTTTTCGCTGTGAATATGGAATATTCTGTGCAGATTTGCCTTACTCCTATTTTCTTAGAATTAGAATGTGAGAATAAGGCTTCTTCTGCAAGTACTAATAAGGATCTTCTTTTAAATGTTGCGTACAAGACAATGGGTGAAGCAGGATTAGGAAGCAGGGAGAATGCACTTGGACAAAGCTGTGATTTCCTGTGGATACCTACCTTCTTGGATCTAGCAGGAAACTTGGGAACAAAATGGCAGCTTCATTTGTTCTGCCTTGAGTTGGGGAACTGGACTTTACTTCCCTGTTTTGCTTGTGTTAGTTTTTGGTGACTGGCTATCTTGGAGGGGTTAGGAGAGGAAGGGAGGGAGCAGGGCGGGTTAAAGTTTCTTTTGGTTCCACCAAAAGTTGCTGGTCTGCACTTTTAGGAGTAGTGCAGGGAACCCCAGGGGTTTGGTGTGCTGGGATATAAGCCTGGCATGTGGGGTTTTTGCCCACACCTGAGGCCCCTGCTTAGGTTATGCTCTAGTTATATTAGGGCTGCCTGTCCTCTCTGGTCTCCATTACTCATCACTGAGTGCCCTCCGTTCTGTTTGACCGAGGCTTCTCACATGTCTCTTTGCTGCCTCATCAAATTCTTTTTGTCTGTTTGCTGCCAATGCATGCTATTATGTCTACAAAACCCGCTGGAACCTCATCTCCTGCTGTGCTAGTTTGCTTTTCTGTTGCTGCGACAAAACATTGACCAAAAACAACTTGGGAGGTTTGGGGGATGGAAGGGTTTATTTGGCTCACAGGTTACAGTCCCTCACTGAGGGAAGTGAGGACTGAGACTCAAGGCCAGAACCTGGAAGCAGGAACTGAAACAGAGACCATGGAGGAAAGCTGCTTGCTGGCTTTCTCCCCGTGACTCACTCAGTTTGCTTCCTTATACAAACAGGACCACCTGCCAGAGTGGCACTGCCCACAAAAGCTGCATCATTCATCAGGTCAATCTGATGGAGGCCTGCTTGGATTTTATTGCTGGGAAGAGACACCATGAGCATGACAACTCTCATAAAGGAAAGCATTTAATTGGGGCTGGCTTATAGTTCAGAAATGTAGTCCATTACTGTCATGACGGGAGCACACATGGCACTGGAGGGAAGCTGAGAATTCTGCATCTAAATTGGCAGGCCGCAGGAAGAGAGAGTGACACTTGGCCTGGCTTGAGCATCTGAAACCTCAAAGCCCACCCCCTTACACACTTCCTTCAACAAAGCCATACCTCCAATAACGCCACTCCCTAGGAGCCTATGGGAACCATTTTCTTTCAGACCACCACAGAGGCATTTCCTTATTTGAGGATTCCTCTTCCCAGTTTGTGTGTCGAGTTGACTAAAACTAGCACATTCGTCTGTGGTCTCTTCCTATCGCTGCGACCTATTCATTTCCCCCCTCTGAACTTAAAGGAAACAGTATATGTTAGTAATTTCTGCCTTTAATTACATGCTAGGTACAATCTGAAATATCCAGGCTAATTTCATGAGTCATTTACAAATAAACCTAATTAGTTAATAGTCATACCTAGTGCTCTGTTCTTCAGCTAGTTATCACGTGCACTTTAGTTCTTCTCTGTTGAAGGCTTTGTCAAAGCAAGACCCCGCTTTCCGCACTGTTTGTATTTGATGGTAATATATTGTGTCGTTTTGTGCTTTTAATACACGATGAATAATTATTTGGCATGTCAGCATTACTTACCAAATTTAGGATTATTTGTTTATTCCACAAATATTTATTGAACTTTACTATAATAATCCAGGCATTGTTGTAGATGCTGAGAACAAAACAGACCCCCCAAAATCTCTTCCCTCATAGTGCTGTCAGTGGGCAAACAGACAAAAAATGCCGAGAAAATTTAGTGTATAATACATTGGTTGCAATAAGCATCATCAAGGGGAAAAAAGCACTTGGGGAGATAGAAAATGCAGACGTAGAGATTGTTATTGAAAACGGTGGTAAGGAAAGCTTTACTAGCTTATTGGGCCTCTGGGGCTCCTGTAACTGAGGCAGAGGGACAAGGTAGCACATTAGCTCTTCAGAGCACTGTAAGTAAAGGCGGTGTGGTGGAAAGTGAAGTCAGAGTGTAAAAAGGGGGCAGAGGTAGATAGAACCTGGAGGGCTTTGGGGGGTCATTATGATTTTACTAATATAATTTAAATTTTTTTATCCTGTGGGAGGAAAAGACATGAGAAACTTCTGGAAAGTTGTA